TAATACAAACATGTACTAATAAAAAAAAAACTTGTCCTTTCCTCTATTGAGAAAAAATTTACTTAATTCTGAGCAATAGGAAATGCCCAAGCGTCTCCCTGAATACTGCCTTGATGGAACAGTGATGGTGCCCTTTGGAAAGGACAAAAATCCCAAAGAAAGAACAGGTTTAGTCTTGTACAAAATAAATTCATGTTCCATTTGTGAAATGATGTGTACTTTAAGTGCTAAATATAGAAATCCAGATAGAAATCTGAGCTTTGGCTACAATATATGGAAAGCACAAGCAGATGATGACAATGAAGACACAGAGTGTGTGAGAGCACGGAAAAGAGGGTGTGAGATCTAATTCGGGGATTACGGTGGGGATGTGGTTCAAGACTCCAGAGGTGCTTTCTAGGTCACTGCTATGATTCAGAGGATGAGAACATGACTCTACCCTGCAGAAAATCATTTGCTATATGATATTAATTCAATGTCTTCATCATTTTAAGCTTCAGTTTTCTTACCTATAAAATATGCATAATAATATTCATGCAATACATGTTTTAAGACCTAGATAGCAAGTACTCTGCAACCTAAATTAGGCAAGCTGTGTTAAGACCTCAGTACTTAGTACATAATAAACTTTCAAAGATATATAATTCTCTCGAACCCCAAAGCTTGTTGAAAACTGTATTCATCATCAGCCTGGCCCCCAAACTACTTTTCTTCATGTGTCTTCCATCTTAACCAGGCCAAAAGCCAAGGTTCCTTACTCTCTCTTCCCTCCATTGCCACATCTTATCTCACCCCAGTCCTGTACTCCTGAAAATCAGTCCCATTCATGTCCACCACTCCCGTTGTCTCCATTAGATCCATCTGTATCCCTGGTCTAGGTCGCTGGAAAATCTTCTTTCTAACAGTGGTCTGAGTGAGTTCTTCTCAAAGGAAAATTTATTGTTTACTCAGTTACTAAAACCCTTTTGTTTTTGCAGAAAGTCTAAGTTGTTATAGCATGCAAAGATCATTCATAATCTCAAGAGATGATATATTTTAGTTTAACCTTCCAGTCTCTTTAAAGACTATTCCTAGCCACACAGATTTCCTTTCTTTCACATCCCATTTCTTCTCTTTGCCCCTACTTGACCCTCATGGCTTCCACATACCCTTTAAGAGCCACTCTTTTCCACTGAGAAGCTTTCCTGAGACTAGGAAAATAGTACTCCTGTGTGCTCATGTAGCACAGTCACAGCCTTTGGTCTCCTTCATTAGATTGTGTATTTCCTAAGACAAAGATATGTCTTACTTTTTATGTTATTCTTATATGTAGAATGACCAATGATATGTTTTAAGTGGTTAATGTCTATCTCTCTGGATGAACAAGTTAAAAATCCACCACAAAGATGTATCTTTTAGGTAGTTATGCAAATTATACTATTTTAGTCTCTTCTCTGGCTACCTATGAAACTCGAATTTTTAGTTATAAGACCTTGAGAAAGTTAAACTTCTCTGTGGCTAATTTCCTTTATATAAAATTAGGATAGCTATGGTACCTACCTTATATTTTTATTGTAAGGATTATAGAAATCAATACATGTATGTCATTTAGAACTACTAGTTTGGAATTACTCAAAAGCTCTCAATGATTATTAACTGTTTTTGTCATTGCTCTTGTTGTATTGCTCCATTACTACTGACCTACAATGATTTATTTCTACTGCCCAACTTTGCTTGGTATCAGGGCTTAAAACAAATTTCACAAGAACAAGAGTTAAAGAACTAAATAAGTTCAAAAGTAGAGGTCAAAAATAAGAAAAGATTTCAGTCACCTTATCTTCTCAATGCTCCAAAGACAGGTATCCTGGGCAACAGGCTCCATTGGACATGTACAAGCAAATGGTTTCAGCAAGGGGAGCCCACCCTCTTGCAACTCCCTCCTCTTACAGAAAATGCATGAGAGTAACTTCATCAAGAGGAAATAATACCAAGCAATCTGGATTTGACTATTAACTATTCACAGAAGTTGTCTAGGAAAATCTACTCTTCATCAGTGGGTTCAAGTATAAAACAATAATTCTTCTGGAAAGGAAGAAGATGTTAGTGAGAAATCTAGGTTAAATCAAATTCCTTTTCCTTAAGAAAGAGCAAGCCCTCAGTTTCAACTTGGTTATTCTGGCAAAGTGCAAGATTAGGAGAACATTTTTGGATAGTGATGGTTGATGTAATTTTTTAAAAAATAATATTTCTTCCAGAGGGGCTTCTTGCTTGTACTTTGAATCCATTTTTGAGTAGCTTCACACACCAAGAATTTTTAAAAAGCTCTGTTCCACCATCAAGACAAATAAAAATTATTCTAATAATTTTTGAGTTTATAGTATTTATTAATGTATGAAGCACTATAGTAAATGATGAAATGTAGACTCTAGAGACACCATTTCTTTTTTCCAGCATGCATAAGCTTGAAGATAAACAAATGAAGAAACTACAGTACAAAGTGATAGATGCACCCAAAATTTACAAAAGATGTAGAAGTATTCAGAAATTACCATTAAATTGAGCAATATATTTTACAAACTAGATAGTATATTTTAAATCTACTTAAAATATTAAACTTAAGATCTAAATAAAAGCATTGAAATGCAATTAACATATGCTATGACAAAGATAATACAGTAATCAGTATGCAGATTTTATTAGGAACAGCTACAAAAAAAAAAAAAAAAAAAAAAGAGAAGAAGAAAATGTTACATCATAAAAAATAGAGAAGTGTTTCCAGAGAATGGCCAAGGGAAATTTTTTTAAGTTAAAGAAAGTAAGTTCAAATTCCAGTTCTGCTACATATGTGCCACCTATGTGAATCTAGGCAAACTTTCTAACTTCTTAGAATATAAATTTTTATGTATGAAACAGAAATAATAATTACCATGCTGTGTAATATTAGCCAGTAAATGAAGTCTAGATGAAGGACCAGAACGTGGGAAATATTCCATGATGCTAGCCACTGTTCCTCATAAATATTCTCACTTGTCACCTGTTCAGTTCATGCACGTATGACTGGCCTATTATGGCAAATTAATTATCCAGCTGTCCTAGGGTGGAACTACAAAGGCTTTCTCTAATGTAAGTGGGCTATTTTTTCTTAATGACTTTGCTGAACTACCCACAGTGGTTTTGGTATATTACAAGCATTTATATACCCTCTAGTTTTACTAAAATATATAACAAAATCTTAAAAACCAAGTCTAATTGATAGCAAAAATGACAGAAAACAGATAAGAAAAATGTTAATGTCCTTTCAGGTCAAAGTGGTCTGTTCACGAGAACACTGATGGGATTATGAGAAATTCCCAGATACAGAAAAGCAACTTAAGCTTAGCAGATAAAATATTCCTAGGCATATTACTGCTGCTTTTTTACAAATTGCTCATAACATAAATTTAGGATATTTCAGTCATATCACACGGTGCCAATTAAAAAAAGAAACTAAAATGTCAGTATTCATTTCAAAAAAGAAAATGTTTATATGGTGCAGAAGTAGAATTCTTATTTGTTCTAACACCTGCAGCCTTCTTCCCTTGTTTGTTGGAGTGGGTGGGGTGAGGTTAAATTGAGTCTCCATACAAAGATTAACTTGATCCTCAGCTTTCCCACCTCAACAACAGGGGGAATAAATTCTTTCCTCTATCTTTCTCAGAGATGATACAATAATAAAGACTTACCTTTGAATGTTTCAGTAAAATTTAATTACATGAGTTCAAGATAATTATACTGTATTTTTGAGGAAATGTCCAGGGTTGGGGAAGTCATATATGAACCAGGTAACTGTCCTGCATGATCACACACATGATTTCCTAAGTGTCAAGAAAACTCTTTGTTCTCAAAAAATGTGTGACTCTTAACTTGGCTTAAGGATTCTTCACCCTAGAATGGTCCTGACTCATAGAGCAGCAAACATGGACAGCTATATTCAATTTTAATGAATTAAAATTATAAATTCAGCCCCTCAGTCCTTCTAGCTACAGTTAAAGTATTCACTGGCCACTGTGACTGGTTGCTAGCATGTTATACTGGGAGAACTTCTGAAAGTGCTGTGAAGTTCTGTGAGAGACTCACACTGTGTGGTAGATTTATTTTCTTTTTTGGTGCTACGAGGGATTGAACTCAGGACCTTGCACTTGCCAGGCAAGTGCTTATATTGCTGAGCTATCTCCCCAGCCCCAGAGGCTCAGACTGAATGTTCCTTTTGTTTTGTGGCTTTAGCTTTTGTTAGACATGGCTAGGAGGATTAAATGACCTTAGAGGTTTTGGAAAGATGACTTCAAGGTCAGGTCATTATCAGATCATAAGAAAGTTTGTAGCGAGCAAAATAAATGCAGGCTAAAGAAGAATAAATGGTTCAAAATACATATTAATATTAAAATGAAAAGCATAAAACCATGGTCCATAAAATCATTTTTAGCAAAATTGTACTTAATTTTCACTTAAAACATTTGTCCCGGGCTGGCAAGACAGCTCAGCAGTCTGAAGTGCCTGCTTAGGCAAGCTTAGTCAGGCGCAGGAAGCAGCAGTTGGATGCCTGGCACCACACACCGTGCCAGCCTTACCCTCAGGGTGGGCTGGGCTGGCTGGAAAAGCAAACAAAAACATTTGTCCCTGGTGTTTGCATGCACTCAGCAATCCCATGCTGCCTTTTTAGTGCCATGACTGGGTTTTCAGATGGTTCTAGCTGTCAGTTATCACACAAAAACTGATTGTGGTGAGAACATAACCGGGTTCTGGATAAAGGCGGCACGCGTTTAAACAGCTTTCTCTCGTGGCACATGCTGTGGAGCTACTTGTAGTCCTCCCTTAGAGCCCTGGGGTTTATATTTCATTGGCCCTTGTTTATTTATCACAAGTAGTTTTCAGGTGTAACCAATATTTTGGTGGCTGCTGCTTGTGAATGAAGAAATTATAATTTAACATATGGATTATCACCCCTAGAAGTAAAAGAATAATCTGTGTATGTTTGCATGCAGGTCATTCTGTCCATTGAAGAAGGTTACAGACTTCCAGCTCCCATGGGCTGCCCGGCATCTCTCCACCAACTGATGCTCCACTGCTGGCAGAAGGAGAGAAATCACAGACCCAAATTTACTGACATTGTCGGCTTCCTCGACAAACTGATCCGCAACCCCAGTGCCCTTCACACCCTGGTAGAGGATATCCTTGTGTAAGATGCATAATGTTGATTTTTTTTCCCTTGACAATCTTCCTTTCTTTCAAGCTACTAATGAGAATAACAGGAAGAAGGGGAGCAGTTTGCATTGGTAACTTTCTAGTTATTGACCTTGTGTAAACTATATTTTATTTGTCAACCAAATAGACAAATTATTAACATTAAAGAAAAATGTGGATATTTTTCCACATGCAAACAGCTTCCCCTTTTCTTTTCTCTGTACCTAATACTTCTGAATTGCTTTGTTTATATTATTTTCCTGTGTGGGTCTTTGATATTTATATATTTTTCTTTACTGATCCTTCCTTACCTGTGTAAATAGGATTTGTTTGTCCATTAGCCACTCTAATTTTGTTCTTTATTTTATGTTGTGGCTCTGTTCAAAATGGCAAGCAACATAGGGGTGCAGTCATTTGTGAGTCATCCCGAGGCAAGGACATTTCCTGCTGATATATCACACCCAGCTGCTGATATTTTCCATTTCTAAAGCCAGACGGGGATGGCTGACAAGAAGGGGAAGGCGCTCAAACACCATTTTATAAGTCAGAGTTGAGATCTTTTCACTTCTCTTTCACAAGCAATTATAAGAGTCCAACTAAAAAATTGTCATCTATGTCTAAAAACATTATATTTGAAATGTCATTAACTTGAAAATATATCTACTTTTAAGCAAAACTGAACTTAGAAATAACCAAAGCCTTTTGAAAGTTTTCAGAGGGATAGTCAAGGAAAAACACAGATATTCACTTCAGGTTACCAGTTCAAGCCAGTGTGGGGTTTTAGTGATAAGGGCAGGCTCTTGAAGGAGCATTTGAAATGGGCCTCCATTCACACAGAACACAGAAGAGCTCACCTCTAAAGCACTAATTGGCAGCCTCAGTAAAGTGAAGCCAAGCATGAAATAGCTGGAAATTGAACTATTCCTCTAGCCCATCTTCCCTGAAGCAGTCCACTGTAGGAAGCAGTAAAGGAGTAGGAGGTGGCAGAGGAAAGCACTTTAGAGTTCATCATTAAAGACAAGGACAGCCACTGTGGAATTTAAGCAAGAAAAAGACAGGATCACATTTGCATCCTGTAAGATCAAGTTAGGATGGATTCAGATATACTGTGAAGGCACAACAAAGCACACAAGACTGAAAACAGAGACAACTGTACATTTTCAACAAGCCAAGCCCCAAACAATTAAGACCTACTGTCTAAAATGGAAATAAGCTCAAGGTCAGAAGAGAATGAACTAATTATTAGTCAGACACAAACCAATGTGTCTTGTTCATTGAATACAAAGGAAGGAAGGAAGGAAGGAAGGAAGGAAGGAAGGAAGGAAGGAAGGAAGGAAGGAAGGAAGGAAGGAAGGAAGGAAGGAAGGAAGGTCTGAATGAAGGGAAAGGAAAGGAAATAATCAAGCATATTACATTTCCTCAACAAACAACTGGTGGTATAATCTGTAGGAGAGAAAGAGGAAGCAATATTTGGAGTAGAAATAATATCATTTTGAGCATACTGAATCAGCAGTGTTTATGTGCTAGCTCTCAGTGGAAATGTCTAGTAGATAGTTAAAAATTGAACTTTGTGTGAAAGGCCTCAGCTGTGAATGCAGATTTGCATATCAACAGCATAAGATTGTACTGTATGCTCTAAGTATGGTGCAGATAAACTATGAAAAATGTGAAGAACATAAGTAAACAGAGGGAATTAGTTCAGCCCTTTGGAATGCCTGCTTATTTAAGACATAACCAGGAAAAAAATCATCAAAGGAGACTGACAACAAAGAGTCAGACAGATAATAAGGGAAATGGAGAAAGTCAGGTCATAAGTCCAAAAGAAAAACAATTTAAACAGTATGGTGTCTAAAGGTTGATAATATCAGTAAAAGAAAAAGTAAGCTATATGTGTTGAACTTAGCAATGAGATTTTCAGATGCCTCTGGGCAACTTTTGCAAGAGTGTTTTCAAGAAAGTTGTGTGAGGCAGATTACAGTGAATGAGGGATGAATTTGAGGTCAGAGAGAATAATATGTAGTTCTGGTTTTTGTTTCCAGAATCCTGGCTGTGACGTGAAAGGAAAGTAGTTAGAGGAAATGCCCCTTGGTTGTTGTTGTCATAGATTTTTCCCCATAATTTTATTGATAAACAAATAGCAATGAGACAGTTTCAAATCAAATTGGTAGGATAGTTTCAATAATTAACACATTGCATACATTTGTCCTAGTGGTTAATTGCTGTACAAGATGCGGACTTGATATCCTATTTACAAACACCATTAGAACAAATCACTCTATTCATTAAGAGAATGTAACTATATATCTATCCTAACCACTTTGAATACAAAGTGGACAGATACAAAATGGACATTCATCTGTATACCCTTTTATTTGTTAAGTTCCGTTATTTGAATATTATAGGTGTGTAAACTCAGCAAAATATTCTAAACGAGTCCAGTAGCCCATAATAGTATTGAGTTTTCTGCTTGACTGGCAATGTCAGAAATTGTTGACCTGAGTCCCCTACAGCTCAACATAACAGCATGGCTTTACTTCTCATATTTCATTTTTATACTTTTCTGCTGGATGGTTAAGAACAAGGTAAAGCAGGACCTATGCAACAAGAGTTGTAGCTTTTGGGTGTGATAAGGTCAGTGAAATCCCCTCAGGATTTATCCCGAGATCCTGCACCTCAGATTGTAGAACCTTTGTCAGTGTCAGCCATGTGGATGAGTCACGGCCAATGCTTGGCCAATGTGCTCTCTGTGAAAGCCTGAGAGAGTATTTTCTGTCCATGTGACTCTCTTTAGGCACACTCTACATCATAGATCACTTTCCTCTTTGGCCCCATAATCTCCTTGATCAGAAAAATCTTGGAAACAACCAAGATGCCCATCACCTGAGGAATGGTTGAAAAAGATGTGGTATTTTTACACAATGGAGTATTATTCAGCTATTAAGAATGATAAACTTGAAGCTTTTATATTGAAGTGGATGCCACTTGAACATAGATTTTCTTGAAGAAGCTTGGGGATGCTTTAATACTGAAGTGACATTCTGATGGAAAGGAACCAGGAAATGAGCCTGCAGTTGTGAAAGAGGACAATGTATACAGACCTCTGATGGAATAGCTAACTAATATCACAGCCAGCACCTAGCAACAAAGATGTCTTACTATGCAGATAGATAAAAGGTCTTGTTTTGAAATAGGAACATTAAGCAACTTCTTGTTTGAATTTTCAAGATTATAAATCATCATCACATTTGGAAAATATCAGTGAAGGACCTAAGATGGGAAAATGTCAGAAAGCCTGAAGGATCCCAAGCAGGGGTCAAGTCCTGATGGAGGGCTCTGTCTGAGGGCCGGGGTTGAGGGTTTAGTGAGGTGTGGAGGGAGGCAGTGCAGCAGCCTGTGTGTCGCAGGCTCTGCGATAAGCCCACCACAAGCAGCCCAGGAGGTGGGTGTTTTCATGAAGGTCGCAGCTTGATTAGACTACCTTCTGATTGCCTCAACACCAAATGGGAGTTTTTGTGACTGATAGACTACCCTCATTCTGACAAAGAAGTATGTGCGACTACTTTTGCTCTTAATGTATTTTCCTTTTAGAAACAAAGTGAACTGAGTTTTAAGGACACCATGTATGAACTTTATCATCATTTTTACTTTCAGAGTGGCCTGAATGGTTCCTATTTCCACCCTCTTATCCTCAATATCACTTACCTACTCTGTCCCTGATGTCAGAGAACTGAGGCTGTTTAGGAAGAATAGCTATGATAGATGGGTAATATCGGCTAAAGAACACCTGACTCATTTTATACTTTTAAAATTGTGATAAGTCCCTCCATATGGCAAGCACACTCACTTTCAAAGTTCCCAGGGCCCAGATGTTTGTTCCAGAGTGATGTTGTATTAAGAAAACATGACACACTGTGGAATTTCAGTCTTTCATCCTCATGTCCCTTGAACATGCAAATGAATTTATGTGTATATGCCACAGCCACTTTCATTAGACTATTTTGCACTCTCTTTTTCGTTAGAGTCCCCAATCTCACAGGTTTCTCTCACATTTCTGGGCCAACATAGCCCTCTTCCATGAGGTCCCCATGTTTTTTTTTTCTTCACTCATACTTTTTTTTGGGGGGGCAGCTCAGTCTGCCCTGGGGGTGGGGCTGGCACATCATGTGGTGCCAGGATTGAACCATGGCCCCTGTGCTTGTCTAAACTTGCCTAAGCAGACACTTTAGTCAGCTGAGCTATCTCACCAGCCTCTCGGCATGGTTTTTATTCCACTCTAATTGCATTTTTCTCAAGAGTTCATCTGAGAAACTTTTATCCTTTATCTTGGCAAAGTGGTAAGAAGGAGAAGAAATGGAGATAGCTCAGTGGTCTAAGCACCTGCCTAGGCAAGCACAAGGACTGAGGTTTGATCTCCAGTACCACATGCTGTGCTGGCCCCATCCTACCTGGCTGCCAAAACTAGGCATGATTGCACATGCCTATAATCCCAGTGCTGGGGAAGCTGAAAAAAGAGGATCACTATAAGTCCAAGCTTCATAGTGAGCCCCTATGCCAAATACATAAAATTAAATAAGTTAAAAAATAAAAATAAAGTGACAAAGGGAGATGAAGTAGGCTATGAAATTGAAATCTAATTTAATAATATTATATTGCCATACTGGAAATTACATAAACCTTATTATTTGTAAACTCCCCTTTTAAAAGACGTACCTTATTTTATTTTATTTCATTTTATTTATTTATTTTATTTTATTTTGTGGTCAGCTCAGCCCGACCTGGGATTGGGGCTGGCGTGGCACATGGTGCCAGGGATTGAACCACAGTCCCTGCACTTGGCTGAGCTTGCCTAAGCAGGTGCTTTGGACCACTGAGCTATCTCACTGGCCCAAAGTGACCAACTTGAAGACATTCCTAAGAGGTTTCCATTATTTAAACAGCAGTTTTCATTGTTTCTTCTATCAACATTTTTCTGCCTAACACACCTCCATTGGGGTA